CAACATCATTTCATTTATATAAGTCAGTACAGGGGAGTATTTCAACATCGATTGCAATACAAAAATATTCTCAAATAATAAATAATACAGATGCAACTACATTTGCGGAAATCGTATACATCTATCATGTAGTTCAACATTCATAGAGCTATATCATCACAATGTGGGTCGAATCTTTTTATCATGGTATTTAACGACTCCAATATAAGTGCAAACCTTTCTTGTGGCAAAACAAAAATGAGCAAGGCTATCACAAGTGTTTTAGTACCTGAATCCTAGAGGTCAATTCTAGAAGATTTGAAAGATGGGCATCCATATGCAATTATAACAGATGCAACTAATAAGGGAAATATTAAAACATTTCTCTCGATCCTTCGCTATTTCAACAAGAATAAGAACATTTTAATAAAACTGTTAAAATTTTTTTCCTCGGATAGTAAAAATCCAACTATGTAGCTAGCCACATAATGGTAAATATAGCTGATTCAGAGTTATCAATGATTTGCATGTCAGCTTTCTGCGCTGATAATGCCCCTGTAAATTTTGGCAAAAACCAAAGTTACCGAATTGAGGCAGCATAATTATGAATTTATACCAATTTGCTTTATATGCCATATACTACATAATTCTTGCAAGAAGGCAATAAATGTACTATCTGTGGATATCGAAATAATTGTGATGAAATGTTTTAACGAATTTAGTCATCAACTAAAAAATTTAATGAATGAAAAGAGTTTTTAAAATTTTACAAACCCTTAAAAAAATACTTCTTATATAAAGATTTTAAAAGCTGTCCTAAAATATTGAAAAATTTTTTCGAGTATGAAATGGCAGAAGCATATTTAGGATTCGTTTCACATGTAAAAAATCTACTTCATGCAGTTAATATTCAGTTGCAATCAGAATATTCTTAATAAAAAAGAATCACAAAATCATGCTACACCTCTGTTCATCTCTACAATTAAAAATTGATATTAAATTTTATAGCGCTATTGCTAAAAATATTATATTAAAATGTTCAAATAATACTCTAATTAATACATTTTTAAATGAAGCAGATATTTTTATTAAGACAATTTTAGAATATTTACAATCAAAATTTGATTTTAATAACTCTATTTACAAATGTATAAATATTATGTGCTTGGAACAGAGACCATCAATTGATGGTTTTTATAATTTAATCAATATATTAAAAATACCAAAAGACATTGATTTCTTGTTTGAGAAGATTGTAATTCTCTCTATTTTTTATGATTCGCCAAAATACTTAAAGTTAGATGGTCTAAAAGCAGAGGAGAAATGGGTATAATTTTTTCGTAATAACGATAAATCCCCATGCTTGGAAAAACTATGCGAGTATGTCTTCTCCTTACCTCATTCTAATGCCTCATCAGAGCGCATTTTTAGCCTGATGAGGACTGCCTGGAAAAAGGAGAGAAATCGAATTGCTTTAACAACATTAGAGGCCGAGCTAATGGTTAAACAAATATATAATATGTCATGCCAGGTATTTTATAAATATCTCAATAACGACGGTAAACATTTAGTTCTATTATTTAATCTCAAATAAAATATAATTAAGTTTTAGCAATGGCGCCATAAAATTTATTGTCAATTTTTAACTGTAAAGATGAACACATCTGCAGCATAATTTTGTGAATCTTTGTTAAGATTCTTCTGATTGCAACTACACATTAACAGAATGTAGTAGATTTCCTACATGTGAAATCATTCCTAAATATACCTCTGTCATTCAATATTGAAAAAAATTTTCAAAATATTAGGACAGCTTTTATAATCTTTATTTAAGAAATATTTTTTTAAAGGTTTATAAAATTTTAAAATTCTATCGATGGCGGGTATTAGGAACATATCGCAACCAACATTGTGCTGACTCAATTCTGTAAATACACTTTGTTTTTACCAAATTCACTGAGGCATTATCAAATCAGAAAGCTGACTTGCAATTTATTTATAATCTCGAATCTGCTATATTTACCATTATATGGTTAGCTATGTCTTCGGATTTTTTACTATTTGAGGGGAAAAAATTTAATAGTTTTATTGAAACGACCTTAATTTTGATGAAATAACGGAGGATCAAGGGAAATATTCCCTATTAGATGCATCTGTTAGAATTGCATATGTATGCCCATTTTTCAAATCGTCAAGAATTGACCTCTTGGATTTAGGTCCTAAAACATTGATGATGATAGCTTTGCTCATTTTTGTTCTACAAGTATAGTTTCATTTATATTAGAGTCGATAAATATTATGGAAAAAAGATTCTATCAACATTGCGATCATAAGTATCTCTGTGAATGTTGTACTAAAATAAGTGATTACAATTGCCGCTAGTTTCATCTGTATTATTTCTTATTTTGGGGGTACCTTATTATGTATTAAAACGTGATACGTGATAATTAAGCGCATATCCTTATAATGTTATACACACACAAGTAGATTTCCAATTGCGGTCGTTTTGCGGGACATTCGCATAAAATATTTTTTTAATTGTAAAATTAAAATCGTTTTTTTTATAAAATTTTATCTTGTTTACAATCTTTTATATATAAAAAAGATCGTTGGTTTTTTTTATGAATTAATATATTTTAATAAATCAAGATGTTATTTTATTTTGAAAAATAGTTACTGACTTTGTATTTATATAAACTAAATAAAAAATAATAGGCGGATAATTAAGTCAATTCAAAATCCCGGCCCAATTTTTTTTTAGCAGTTTTTATATTTCTACCGCAATTTTTATATTTCTCTCGCATAATACCAAATTTCTCCCGCAATCTGAAAATTTTGACCTGGCAACGATGTTCTTGCCCAATAATACACCCAAGTATTTTAAGGTAGTTACTTCAGTAATCATACTACCATCTATAGTTAAAATTATATGTGGAGAAGAATAATAGGACGTCTTAATTTTTGTCTTGTTTTTATTTAATATTAGACCAAAGTGTCCCGCCTCTAAGATGATACAATTTATGGCTGATTGGATAACCAAACCGATTTACCGACTAAACATAAATCATCGGCGAAAGCTATAATGTTTAGTTTTCCTGAAAACCACTGAGTGAAGTGCATATCTCTGACTATGTTAATAATATGGTTGATAACAATGTTAAATAGAATCGATAAAACACAACCTTGCTTCAATCCCATCATTATCGGAATTTTCGGTGATTTTTTTCCCGCATAGATAATTTGCATAGAATAATCGTTATAAATTAATTTCAGCAAACTTATCAAAACTAAAGGAGTACCCAACTCTTCTAATGTCCTCCAAAGTTTGGAATGTATTATCGAGTCAAAAGATTTTTTAAAGTCTAGTACATCAATTATCAATTGTCTTTTCCTTACTAACGCTCTCTCTAGTTGAATTTTTAATGCTAAGATCGCCTCTAATGCGTTTCGGCCCTTCCCAAATTTAACCAATTAATCCACAAAGAGATTTTCCACCAACGGTCTTTTTCTATTTAGTATAACATTTGCAAAAATCTTATACACCACCGAATTTAGTGATATTCTCCTCCAATCTTCAAGAAATTGTGGATTTTTGGTTTTGGGGAAATTGACCATTATTGCGTTGATCCAGTCGTTCGGACAAAACCTTTCAATCCATACCCTGGATATAATTGGGAGCTCCGCGCATAACATGGGATCGGTCTTCAAGTATTCACTATGTAGTAAATCCTGACCACTTGCCATATTATTTTTCAATTTATTAATTATTCCAACTAATTCAACTTTCGTTGGTTAGATAATCCTTACATCAGATGAGGTTTGGGCCATAGGTGAACTTTGTTGTACATTACATGATCTTGTTTGAGGAAGCGGAGTTGTGCCGAGATAAGTTATGTCATAATTAGGGAGAATATTGGCTTTTTTATTTAAGCTTGTTGGTCAAGGCCAAATTTTCGAAGTGGTAGGATGTTGGTCAATTAGATAGGAACAATGTGAAGATTTGTTTTTGATATTATAGCTATTAGATTGAAGGGGTAAATGGGAATAATGATGGGAATAATGTAAAGGTTGTGAAGATTTTATAGTAACATCATAGTTATTATTTGGTTGATCACGAAGATGAGAACGATGTGATAATGTAGTTTCGGCATTATCATCGGTTGAAGATGAGAATGGAGGGAGGCAAAGCTTAGAAGTAGAAGGACATTTTTCGATATTATCGGCAATTGAAGATGAGATTTGTGGAGGCCAAAGCTTAGAAGTGGAAGGACTATGATCACCAATAAAGTTTGGAGCTAGGTTAACATTTACAAAGCTCTCATGGTCTCCAAACATACTAGAATAATGAGTGTACCAAATGTCCATTTGGGTCTTTGGATCCGTTATCAGGGTATTCTGATGCCAGAGTTTAAATATACGCTGTTTCCGGCCAGATGTGAAATATAATTTAGTAGTCTGAAAGCCTTGAAAATATCATTTTTGCCAAACAAGTTATTAATTTCAACAGCACAATGTTCCAAGTACCTTCTTTTGTCTCTCCTAAGTTTGTGGCTAATATCATCTAATATGTATTTAACCCTATTTCTCCTATAGTGACCTTTCCTATTTAAACTAACTAAGAAACCTTTCCAATTCCGTCGAAATCCAATCCGGATAATCATCTATTTTTGGTAAGGACATGGCCGCCGCCTCAGTAAAAATACCACGAGTATTTTCCCATAACGAATCAATAGATAATATAGAGAAGGAATCTCTCTGACCTAAATATCTTTCCCGTACCAGTTTGATAAATTTATCCTTCGTATTTTGGTCACTAAGGGCCTCAATATCCAATTTGGGCATTTTGGTATTTGTCTTTTCTATAAATCTTTTCCTCTTATACCAAATACTTGGATCGATCACCATCTAGCAGACAAGGAACTTATGATCTGAATTAAATAACACACAGTGAAAATATAAATATTATAAGTTTATATAATCAGCTGAAAGTATTTACTGATACCCGTCAGTTATTGAAATTATATATATCCATCGAGCTATTTTAGAGGAGCTTTAAAATAATCAAAATTTTATATGGTATTAAAAATATACTATGTTACATGTCTATTTTGAATATATTTTAGACTGAAGAAAGTGCTGATTCAACTAATAATGCATTAGCTGTTGATATATCTGATGCCTTAAGTGAAAAAGACAAAGTCAAATTTACTATTCATACAAAAGTAAATAAAATAATAGTTAAAATATTATGTAATATTTTATAGACAACTCTTCCCCTCTTTCGAGAACCGGAATTCTCAGTGGTGAGAGAACATGAAGAATTTGTATGGTTACACGATTGTTATGAAGACAATGAAGAATTTGCTGGTCATATAGTAATTTTTTAAAATAATATTATTATAAAATATTCACCAGATTCCTGCCGCCCCACCTAAACCAAATTTTGAAACATCTAGAGATAAATTGCAAAAATTAGGTGAAGGAGAAAACAGCATGACTAAAGAAGAATTTGCTCAAATGAAACAAGAATTAGAAGCGTTTGATTGAAATTTATACCATTAAATATATTATTATATAAAAACAATTTTAAATTTAATTTACTTATTTTAATAATAGGGAATATTTAGCCACATTCAAAAAAACTGTTGCTCTCCATGAATTGTTCTTATGTAGATTAGCTTCTCATCCTATACTTTGCAATTTTCATAACTTTAGAGTATTTTTAGAATATGATCAAGATGTAAGGCTATTTATAAATATATATATAAATAAGGCCTGTGTCAATTCACAAATTTTTATGGAAATATTTCCAGATATTCTTATAAAATTATCCTATACTAATGTAATATTTATTTTTATTTATATCTATCTTTGAGCCAACCTAGGTTATGAAAATGTCAATGTTTTCTTTATAAAAAATAACTAGTAAGCTATTTCTTTTTTTATTACTCAAAAGAATCCTCTTATTTAAAACTATGGCAATATTTATAGCTTAATAACTTGTTAAATATAAAGCACATTTTAAATCTTACTTTTAATTCTTTTTTTAAGCATTACAAAATTAAATTTTGATTTCTTTTGTTATTTCTTATTAGCAAATTATTTTATAATATATAATTTTAATATTATATATTAGAGATCTGCAAATCACAGGCCAAACAAGTTTTGGACCTGGCTGCCTCTATTTTTTAAAATTAATTTTGGTTTATGCTGGGTTGAACCTAATATTTTTTAAAAAATTTCAGGTTGGGCCAGGTTGGGTCTTAATTTTTAAATATAATATTATATTTTTTCAAATAAATTGATATATTTTTTAATTCTTGCAAGAAACAAGGCATTATTTTTTTTATTTTTTTTTTAGAATAAAAAATAAATAAAATTTTTCTCAATTTAAAAAAATTTGGGCCAGGCTGTGGGCAGACAAATAATTATTTTGGGTTGGGATTTTCTATATATATATAAAAAAATGTTCTGGATCGTGCAGGGCTTGAGGCCCGATATAGATCACTAATATATATACTATTATAAAATAACTCAAATCAAAAATAATATAGGATTCAATTGGCTTGAAAATATTGCAATTTTAGTTAAAAATTGTAAAAGCCAGCTATGATCCAATCCAATATTTATTATTTGCACAGTCCTATTAATTAGACATATTTATAAGATATGTAAATATGTATTTATGTTTTTAGTTAAATGTTAGAGGGAAAAACAAAAAAGAGAAATTGGATCAACTCATTAGAAATGTCTCTATGACTATGGATGAAACAATGTTAGCTAATTATAAAGTAATTTTTACTATCTATTTTTAAAATTTATTTACACATTCTTTTTTGTCAATTCTAATCCCTAATAATGGTATATTGTTAAGGAGGTTGATGATTATTTTGAACAACAAAAGTCATTTTTTGTAGAATACACTCAAAAAATCAAAGATGCTACTTTTAAAGGAGATAAAGTTGTCAAATCAAATAAAAGTTATATATATTATTAATAATTAGACCTATACACTTGAAGCCTGTAAATGTCTGGCTAAAAATAATTAACATTGGGTAGTGGGTTAAAAAAATATTTTTTTTAAACAAAAGGCAAGCTGGTGTATTATTTTGAAATATTTTTAGGGTATTTTGGGTAGGGAGGCTTATATTTATTAAAAATTAATTATATTTCAAAAACTTAGATAAAAACATTAGAATTAAATAAAGAATTAAACAACCAATCAAATAATTTTTAAATATTGAACAGGTGTATGGTACCAACATTTTTAAACAATTGGGCAGTTTGTGTGTTTTTTTCAAAATTTAGGTGTGCAATAATGTTGCTAAACTTGATTAAGCTGATTTTTAATAATAGCTAAATTAAAATTTTAATAAAACGAATATTACCTATGCTTTGCAATTTCCCCAAAAGATGACTGAACCGTTTCTCGTTGTTGTTGAAATCTAGAGACTTTGATAATATTTGTTTGACTAAAATCTTGATTTAGCCGTTTTTTAAAAATTGACTAAAACGATGTTTTTCCTAATGGATGAATACACGATCAGATAGACTTACTACCACACATTGCATCTTGGCGCAGCACCAAGCAATGGTCTTTAAGGGTTGTCGGCACACATGTCTATTAATTATGTATCACAAATCTCATATCTTGATAAATTATTTATTTTAATTTATAGATGTCTCTGAAGATTATTCCAAAATTGGTCAAGCATTTATTGCCTTGGCAGCAGTTGAAACCTCACAACTAGAAACGTAAGTTATTATTTTTTATAATTGATATTAAATCTCATATCGGAAAGCAAGGCTTGAACCTATTTTTTAAATAACCATCAATATTTATTAGTGAATTACCAATAATCATTGGGTTATTCCTCAATATTTTCTTTTTCAAAGTTGCACATCTTAATAATTTAAAATGAGGTAAAAAAAAATATAAATCATTATTTATTTTTGATTTGAACCCTACTAAATAGTTAAAATGTGATAGGCAGCGAATAAAACGATTTATTGTACAACTTTTTTTTTACATATTGCCAGGTATTGATACCTCGATCTAGCTGAAAATCTCGGTATAACCGTTTTATAAATCGGCTTAATGGAGGTTTTTAACACACTAATTTGTCAGCATATAATGCAAAAATATGTTAAGCTGATTCATTAGTACATATCTTCTTAATTCTACCAAAAATCCAGTATATTTAAAGAGTCATACACCCAAGTACTATTTCTGGGGTCCAGACCCCTAAAAATAAAATACATAAATATTCCGTAAGATATGCCTAACATTAATTATTATTTACTTATTTTTATTAAAATAATTTATTTTTTATATTTAATTATTATTAACAAAAAACATATATGTTTAATATTTATATTATATTATAAAACGAAATATGATTATATTTTATCATGTCATATCATATCATATTATACACTGGGGAGACATCCCACAATTAAGTGGGCACTCCATCACCCCATAGAGGGCGTCTCCAGTGCAGTGAATTTGCATTCACTGTTTGGCAGAAAATTTACCCTACTGTCTGGGCCCTGTTTAATTTGAGTGGGATGACAGGTACCACTCGTGGATAAGCCAGGATCCACAAAGTTGACAGTAATTTACCCTACTGTCAGGGTCCCGTTTAATTTGAGTGGGATGACGGGTACCACTCGTGGATAAGCCAGAATCCACATTGTAAATAATGTTTATTTATTATGAAAGATAAGATAGGAATATGTATTAGAAAAAAGGGGAGGGGGGGGGTGATTAAGGAGTAAAGAGGAAGAAGAATTAGTTTTATAATTTGTAATTAATTAATTTATTTTTTTTTGTTTTGTTTTGTTTTCTCTTTTTTTTATATATTATTGGTAATAAGAGATTCTTGTGTTAAAATAATGTTAATATCATATTGATCAAGGAGTTTCCTAAGTATAGTTGTTTTTGAAAGTAGGCCAGGAATGTTGTAGGAGTAGATTGTTAGATTTTTGAAAATTGACATAATATAAATTTTAAAGTAAATTGTAAGATAAATTTGAATTTTGAAATAGAAAAAAAATGGGGAAAAAATAAGCAAACGATACTTGGAAAATTCTCTACCCATTTTTAAAGAATATAATTGGTCATATTTTATCATGAAAATGGATTTATTTATTTCATGTATTTTATAGAAAAAGTGACAATTGTCATAATCGTTATATTTGAACTTTTTTGAGTTTTTTTAAAGTAAATAGGTAAAAATATGCTTTGTAAACATGTTAAATTAAACTTTCAGTGAAGATGTACTATAGAAAAGTGATAATTGTCATAATGGTTATTTTTGAACTTTTTTAAGTTTTTTTTAAAGTAAATAGGTAAAAATATGTTTTTTAAACATTTTAAATTAATATTTCAGGAAGATGTACTATAGAAAAGTTACGATTGTCATAATAGTTATTTTTGAAGTTTTTTTAAAATCAAATAGGTAAAAATATATACTGTAAAGTTAAATTAAAACAAAATTCCTAAATTCGCTTTTATTTATATATTCAAAAATAATGATGAGTTATTTTCCTATGACTTAAAATAATAAAAAAATTCCAATATTATAATTAAACATTATCTTCATTGCAGCCGGAAATGTTTTTTTTAACATAATTTATAATATAATTAAAGCATTTTTAAAATTAATTTACCTTTTCTAAAATGTTTACTGCTAAAAATAAAGAATCCTGCATCGGTTATTTTGTATAGGCCTTGGGTAATTTTTTACTTTATTTTATTGAGTTAGGCTCCCTTTTTGAAGGCCTGTTTTATTTTAAACATTTTTTGGGTTTATACTCCTATTTTTTCAGAAACATTTGGTAAAAGGGGTGGGGATCCCTTCCCTATTTATTAGCTGTAAGATAAATTACTAATTCATTTTGCATCTAAATTTGAAACAAATTTTTACGAAATATTATTAACAGAATTCTAGTTGTCACTTTTCTATAGTACATCCTCACTGAAATATTAATTTAACATGTTTACAAAACATATTTTCACCTATTTGCTTTAAAAAAAGTTCAAAAATAACGATTATGGCAATTGTGACTTTTCTATAGTACATCTTCACTGAAATATTAATTTCACATGTTTACAAAACATATTTTTGCCTATTTACTTAAAAAAAACTCAAAAAATAACAATTAATTGTCACTTTTCTATAGTACATCTTCACTGAAATATAAATTTCACACATTTACAATCATATTTTTACCTATTTACTTTAAAAAAACTCAAGATAGTTCAAAAATAACGATTATGACATTTGTCATTTTACCTAAAAAATTAGTGATCAAAAGATATATTAGAAAAAATTACTTAAAAAATAAATATAAAAAATCATCTCAAAAAATATACTTTAAAAAATAATATAATAAATTAAAATATATTATCTCAAAAAATTTATTAAGAAAATCATATAACACAAAAAATCCCCTAAAAATAAAAAAATTTTAGCGATCAAAAGATATATCAGAAAAAAATTACTTAAAAAATAATTATATAAAAAATCATCCTAAAAAAATATTATATTTTAAAAATATCATATTTAAAAAGCATTATATAATTATCTAAAATAAATGTTATAAATTAATCAAGTAAAATATTGATCTTAAAAAATTTATTAATAATAAGAAAAAAATTATTAATAAGATATTAAAAAAATAACACATGGCCTGATTTAACCAGGCAATGTACACTTTGCCGAAATAACAAATTCACCCTGCCACCACTATAACACATTGCCGAAAAAATTCAGGCAATGTAGACATTGACGAAAAAATTCAGGCAATGTAGACATTGACGCTAACATATATATAATATTATAATGAATCTATGTGATATTAAATTTCATAATTTTTTTCATGGTTAATGTTTCGCCCTCCATGGCAGAGTCTTGTTCTGATTCATATTCAATATCATTATTTTCTTTGATATTTTTAATTAATCTTAAGTTATGATATAATCTTACCAATTTTCATATTGTAGAAGTCTTCAATCAACTTCTGTTCGTATGAATATTGCCCCAAACCGACCAATTTCTTTCTGAAGAAGTCGAACTAGGAAATGTTAGTAAAATATTAGCTACTTCTCTTAATGAGCAAGGTGGGCAATGTGCATTCCACCAACTTGACGCCGAAATCTGATTGTTTCTTATGAAATTTACTACTTTCCACCAGGGGTGTGCCGAACCACATATTTTTCACCGATCCAATTTTCCGATATTGGTTCAAACCCAATCCGATACCTATCCGATATTTATATTGATTTTTCACCCCCCCCCCCTTTGAATCAAATATAATTATGAAATCAATATTTTTTATGCAAAAAATTGAATTATGCATTTAATTTAAATTTTTATTTCTACAATAATTAAAAAAAGATTACGGATATTGGTAGTATTAAATATATTTTTAATTATTCCTCCCCGTGAAATTAGAATTCCGCAGATAACGCATTTTGCAAAATTATCTTTGTCTTTTGTAAAATATTTCCATAATTCAGATACCACATTTAAAAAAATTCTTTTATTTAAACTATAAATACTTAGGGTGTTCCTTTCTATTTTTATAAAAAAATTTATAAAATACTATAAATCTATTTAAAAAATAAATAAAATTTAAGGGGTGTTGTGCATTTGCATTGTTTAAAAAAAATTATTTAGAAAATATTATTAATGGAAAATAAATGTACATAAAATAACAAAAAAAAGTAAAAAGATCGGATCTGTTTCTACAGGTATCTGCCCGATCCGATATTTTACGCTAAGTATCTGTTCCGATCCTATATTTAATATCGACATAACCCTATTTTCCACATATTTTAGCCATTAAATATGCTGCTTTTACTTCTGAAATTTATTATATCACTTAAAATATTTTGAATATCACCACCTTGTAAAATACATACTTCTTGTATTATATTACATGCTTCATCAAATTCAGTACTAATAAGATGCTCCCCTTGATATTGGGGGTCCAATAAATAAGCGTGAGCACATATATTTAGATCATTTTTTCTCTTTTCAAATATAACTTTAATTTTTTTTCTCTTCAGATGGAGAAAATATAGAATCATGAAAGAAAAGTTAGAACTAAAATATATACTAAATCTTTATTAAATACTTAAATATAAAGTGAAAACATAATCAAAATAAAAGAAAAATAAAATTAATATAAATTAAAAATTAAGTTCGCTACATAATAATAATTTAACTAGTAAAATATCCTCGATTACATATACTTTTCTATCCTATTCATTTATATCGTCTTTACTCAAATAATCTAATAATTCGTTTCGTTTTTCTTTTTAACAGTCGATTTGAATATTACTTCTTTTTTTTCGATTTTATTTCAAAGTAAATTTACATATTACAACAATTATATTATGTGTTTTGCCAAATTAAGCATCTCGTTTTTACGTTCGCCTTGCACTTTTAACAATGAGATATCTAAAGGTTGGAGTATAGCCAAAAAATTTTAATTTTTCGTCCAAAATATTTCTTCATTTAATATATTATTGGTAATTTCTATGGGACAAATATAACATACACTTCTTCAACAACTGATGCCTTCAGAGCTTTCTTACATATTTGTATTTGCTCCATACATTTTATTGACGATGCCCATCTTGTTTGGCTAATTGTACTTAATTTAGATGATATACATGTTGATTCTTATTATGAGAAAATACTGTAACTGGTAGGGGTTTATTCTTGAAAAATTTAACAATTTTTTTAATTATTGAAATATGGTAATTGAAGTCGTTCAAAATCGTGAAACTGCAATGTACGCGCTGCACAACCATAACATTGTATATGTTTATATATATATTCAGATTTTAGAATTCTCCAGGCTGCTTTCATGTTAGCGGCATTATTAGTAACTAAATTAATTGCATTTTTAAATTCCTGGTCAATATAATCTGCCATATGGCAATTTTCCTGAATATTTAAAAATTTGTAGAATGCTGGAACAGGCCTCATCACTATAAAATTAATAATACTCTCGTATCTGATGTTGTTCCATCCATCTTACACAATTGATAAGTGAGGAGCTTTATTATATCTGCAACCTCGCCTCCATATCTCCTGACTCTTTGTCTAAAAGATATGCAGCCAGCTGCCTTCGTCTTGGTAAAGTGTAAATAGGACGTTTTTTTAAAAAAAATTCTTGGATGTACGGATTTTCAGTAATGTGGAAAGATAAATTGCTCGCATATATAGCCTTTGCAAACAATTGATCGAGCTCATTTTTTTCTTTGGAATTCATTATCTATGAAACCGGTTATACAAGATTGAATACTTTTAATCGTCTTGCTTGTAGATTGATTAGAGATAATGGTATCAAATTCTACTGAGTCACAAAGCAAAATATTGTCAATTTGATAATCATTCTCACTAATTTCACACACTTCTTCATTAGAGCTAGAAGTATTACAAATTACATTTGTAGCGGTTGATATTTTGGGATTTGAATAAAATTTTTTCTTAATTATGACAGGGTATATAGTACAACTGCTTAATAAATGCTTACCAGCAAAACTTGCGTACCGCCTTAACTGTTTTACCTTCGCGTACTTCTTGAAAATGTCCAAACTTGATGTTTTGGTTTGACTATAATCCCTATATTAAAATTTAACTATAAAAGATTTTGATTATTGTAAAGTCAATCAATCATAATTTTCTTGTAATTATCGACCAATTATTTCAATAATTTGGCTTAATATTATATATAATATAATATATAACTTTTTACCAGAATTGAATAAATTATTTTGTAAATCTGACCTGGACAATTAAAAAGAAAATTAATTTATAAATTCATGCAAGTGGAAGTAAAATAAATGAGAATTAATATAATTTATACTCGGCTAAATATTAAATAAAATTTAAATTTATTAAAAAATAAACCTTGACTTAGCTAAATATTTTATTTATTTATTTTAGTAATAAAAAAAAATTCTTTTGTTTTTATATTATAAAATTTTTTTAAATTTTAATATAAAATTATAATTGAAACGATTCCTTCATGATACAAATATATTTTAGAATAAGTCGTAACCTAATAAAATTTATAAACATGCTTTTAATACATTTAATTATATATTCACCAATAATATTTTAGAGTATTTGACCGGTCAAATACTCCTCTGGTCAATTGACCGGCATGCCAACCCTGAAAATAAGTATTACTAACATGTTTAAATAAAATTTCAGTGAAGATATACCCTAGTGACAATTGTCATAATCGTTATTTTTAAAGTTTTTTGATTTTTTTTGACTCAAATGGGTAAAAATATAGATTGCAAACATGTTAAATTAAATTTTCATGTAGATGTACCATAGAAAGGACAATTGTCTTAATCATTATTTTTAAAGTTTTTTGACGGAAATGGGTTAAATAAAACATAGATTGTAAACATGTTAAATTTAGACCTCACGAAGAAGTATCATAGAAAAGTGACAATTGTCATAATCGTTATTATTAAAGTTTTTTGAATTTTCAAATGAAGATCTACCATAGAAGAATGACAATTGTCATAATCGTTATTTTTAATGTTTTTTGATTTATTTTGACGCAAATAAGCAAAAATATAGATGGCTAATATGTTAGAATAAAATTTCAATGAAGTGTACCTTAGATAAGTTACAATTGTCATAATCGTTATTTTTATAGTTACTTGACGAATATAGGCTAAAATAAGTATTGCTAACATGTTAAAATAAACCTCAGTGAAGATGCATTCTAGATAAGTGGCAAATTTACGTCAAAAAATTCAAATAACTTTAACTTCATGAGTTTTTAATTTATCATGTTTACAATATATATATATTTACCCATTTGCATTAAAAAAATTCAAAAATAAAAATTGTCACTTTTCTATGGTAGACCTTCAAGAAATTTTAATTTAACATGTTTACAATATTTTCACCTATTTGCGTCAAGTAAATTAAAAAAACTTAAAAATAACGATTATGACAATTGTCACTTATCTATGGTGCATCTTCACTGAAGTTTTATTTAAACATGTTAGCAATACTAGCCCACTTACTTCAAAAAGTTTTCCAAAAAACGATTATGATATTTGTTATATATTTATGGTACATCTTCACAAAATTTTTAATTTAACATTTTAGCAATTCTTATTTTTGCCCATTTGTTTCAAAAAAACTTTAAAACTAACGATTATCAATTTTAACTTTTTTATTGTAGATCTTCATCAAATTTTAATTTAACATGTTTACAATCTATATTTTAACCCATTTGCGTCAAGTAAATTCAGAAAACTTTAAAAATAACGATTATGACAATTATCACTTATCTAGGGTGCATCTTCACTGAAGTTTTATTTAAACATGTTAACAATACTAGCCCACTTCAAAAAATTTTAAAAATGACGATTATGATATTTGTCATATATTTATGGTACATCTTCACTAAATTTTTAATTTAACATTTTAGCAATTCTTATTTTTGCCCATTTGCTTCAAAAAACTTTAAAAAATAACGATTATCACAATAGTCACTTTTCTATGGTAGATCTTCATAAAATTTTAATTTATAAATGTTTACTATCTATATTTTCATCAATTCGTCAAGTAAATTCAAAAAACTTTAAAAATAACGATTATGACCATTGTCACTTATCTATGGTACATACATCTCATTAAAATTTTTTAATTTAACATGTTAGCAATACTTATTTTTGCCCAATTGTTTCAAATAAATTCAAAAAACTTAAATAACGATTGCGACAATTGTCTTATATGGTACTCCTTTATTTGAAATTTAAATTTAACATGTTAAAAATACATATTTTTGCCCATTAGCGTCAAAAAAATTTAATATGTTTAAAAATACCGATTATGATAATTGTTATTTTTCCTAGGAACATCTTCATTGAATTTATTATTCATCTTTATATTATTTTTACCCTTTTGTGTCAAAAAATTTCAGAAATGTTAAAAGATAACGAATATGACAATTGTCATATTAAAATATTATCCTTAAAAAGATAAAAAAGTTTAATATAAATATTTTAAAAAATACTATTTAGAAAAAATCACCTCAATACTTAACAAAATAGATAATTTTACATAAATGATAAAAAAAATTATAAAAAGAATTCTTCAAAAAAGATTTATTTACAAAGAAGATTTAAAATTCTTATCAAATCAAAATATGTTCACGTTCAAAAATCTTTTTAAACTTAAAAAAATATTTTTTGCTTAAAATTTTGGGCGTAAATTACTAATAAAGTGTAACAAAAAAATTATATTACAATAGCAGCATATCATTTTCTTTATTAAAAAACATCAAATAAATAAATAATAATTAATGCTAGGCATATCTTACGGAATATTTATGTATTTGTCTGAACCCCGGTCCTGTGCTCAGGGTTCGTGCTCAGAGCAGCTGAAGCAAATTAACAACACTACATCCAAGGTTGTGCAAAATATTGTTATTTAAGCCGAAACCTTAGATTCCTAAGCACTTCAATCAATCATAATCTTACCTTGAAATTTTATATATATCTACGTAAGGTTTTTTTTAGATTAACCTTTTTTTATTAATAAGTATATATTAATATTATTTATTTTAAGGTTGTGCCGATATTAAATATCCGTTCGGCACCTATATTTAAAACTCATATAATTTTTTTATAATTTCATAAAAAATTAATGAAAGGAATTAAAATATAATTTATTTGTTGTCATGTTTAAATAGATAAAAATTTTACACTATTTTTTGATAAATTATCTGCAATAAAAATTTTTTTTAAAATATCTAACGTGAACATTCAGCTAGTGTTTTAAACCCCTCGATTTGGCCAATCAACAATGTTTAACTCAAGATCCAAAAGTAAATTACTCAATCTTGATTTTGCCCACAGTTGGCTGAAAGTTTGAACTTCTAGGGACGAAATTTTGAGGCTGAGGTAATAATATTTTGGCCAAAATCTCGATTTAGCCCTTTTTAAAAATCGGAATAAAAAAAATAGAAAATTATAGTAGATGGTAAATAAAAATCAATATAAATATAGAATCTGATCGGTTCTTTAGTAATATCGGAATTAATCGATCGATAAAAAATTTGTGGACACAGTTCTAGTTTACTTACAATTATATATTTTTTATTATTGCAGATTTTTGCAAAAATTTGCTCAAGGGTTTTTGGGATTAAAGGTATAATTTCATTTATGTTATTTATGAATATATTCCTTTTTCTACTTTAACTGTTTTTATCAAAAATCAAAGAATTTTTATAAGTTACCTACCACATATTACCCTTTTACTACATATGACTTCATACATATCTAGTTTATTTAGCATAATTTAAGTTTATATTATTTTAGCTTTAAATTTTATAATGCCCAAATAACATCCCATACAAAAGATATTTATTTATTAAATCTTGGCCGATAATTAAAGTCTGCAGCTCTTTGAATTTAAAAAAATGATATAATTATGTCATGCTTATAATATTATAGTTTATTTTATTAATAATATCATTTTATCTATTTCCATGGTTATTTTTGAAATATATTACTCATTTTTTTATTATTTTTAACTTTGATAGCATGATTAGGAATAATTTGTTTTCTTAACCTTTTTAATATTTTAATAAAACATTATTTTATTTTAAAGTTAAGATAATGTATTTCAAATTTATTTTAAAAAAAATATGCATATTAAACAAGAAACTAGAGAATAGAATAACGGCCGACGCTGATTTAAAATTGTGTGATGTATTGCATTATTTTTATCGTGATTCAACTGAAGCTAAGGTTTAAATTATATATTTTTCCAAATAACATGTTCTTCTTAAAGGAAATATGGTTTTAAAATTAGTAATTTTTACGTATACCTTTTTTAGAGCCCTACAAGTCGACCATATTTTAAAATTCCGGGCCGGGTTCGGGTAGATTTTTTTTAATATCTTGGGTATTAAAATAATTTTGAAAAAATATCAAGAAAAAAGTGTTTTCTCTTGTTTTATCAAAATAAAATGATAAGCGAGAATTTATCGGTGATAAGAGCAACGTAATTCGTGATTTTTATTTCATAAAAATACGTTTAATTTATATTTTAAATTAAAAATTACAGACTTTGATCTTATATAATAATTCGGTCTGGGGCTGGGACAAAAAAAAATTCATGGCTCAATTTTATTAAACTTTTTTAAAACCAAATTAATAATTATTATTAATTTGCTTGTACCCGCCTTAGTCAGTTAATTTTTAACGTTAATCCTAATTAAGTTATAAAGAAAAATCGAATTTATAAGAAATAAAATTTATCGTCATTATACAAAAACAATTTTTTTAGAATCTGTTATTTCGAAGACTCAGAAGTTTATCCGATTTTGAATCATCTAACAGGGCCTTAGAAAAATCTAGGATAAAAGGCAAAGATGTAGTTCAAGTATAAAACATTTAATATTTTATTCTTAAAAGTTAGACAAATATAATATAAATGAAAAACCCCTCTTGTATAACGGAATTAAATCGTATATAGGCCGAAAATGACCAAATCTCAGCTAAGGAAAAATTCCAAAAACTGTCCGAATTAGCTAAAATTGGTAAATAAATTTATTAATTATCATTAAGCGTACATTTTTATTATTATATTTTAGAATTAAAAGATTTTAAAGAAAGACGCATCACAGGATTTCGTAAAAATTTGATCGAATTAGCCGAATTACAAATCAAACATTCAAAAGTAAAAAACATTGCTTATTGCCACCATCAAGGTCCGGTCCTATAGTTCTGACCAAAACAGATACCCGATGTTTCAGTCTGGACTACAGATCGTACCATTACATTTATTAATATATACACTCACTCCTTATCTAATTTATTTTAGTATTGATTTATATATTATAATTATGTTTATTCCGGACCGTATAATATAATTATTTTATATTTATAGTCGTTAGTCCAACATATCGAAAACACTTTGGACTCACTAGTTGAACCTCAGCCCTGAAGCAATACATTTATTAGCCAATCTAAATTATATATATCATTCCCATCGTGCCGTATTCACATTAATTTTATGCAAGAACCGATAAAATATATATATTTCTATAAGCACGATTACACACTTAAAAAATATATATTTGATTTAAATATGTATTTCATAATTATGTGATGAAAAAAATTACACTTAATATATTAGAAACACGGACATTATATTTATTATCAAAAAAATTGTATGTTTACCATTGCTCTTCGGTAATTAAGTTTAATGATTAAATAAATCTATATAAAAGTAGTGAAACGTATTTAAACATCTCACTTTACATTTGAGATCTCGTTTTATTATGGAGACCATATTTTACCCATAAAAAAGGGGGTTAACGCAAGGACATGAAAGGGAACTTGGGGAAAATTATGGTATACAGGGAAAGTTCCTGAAAACATTAATATAAAATGATTTCCTAATATATTTTTTTTCAGTTTGCTTCACATTACAAACAATGCTATAATTTTTTTTTTAAATATAGGATAGGAGTCAGTTAAGTTTTTTTATTTTTACCAAAATTTATATCTATTCGATTAGCGTTTACATGAGCGGGAGGGGTAGGAACACTCTACGTCCAAATTTTTTTGAGGGGGATAGGGGATAGTATTTAAGAGTGGTAGTAGGGGTAGGATTTAGATGAAATAAGGCAAAATGTATTGCTGTAAAAATTAATACTTTTATTATAGATTATTATAATACAACGATGCGAAACATTAATTTAATCTATATATGGCACACAATCATAGACATTATTTTCCAAATAAAACTCTTTCTGAATCATTTTTTGCTATCCTTTTAAATGTAATTTAAATTGGTTAAAAATTATGTCAGTAAGCTCATATTCGTGCCAAACAATATAAGTGTTGACCAGATTTAATGGAAAACATTTTCATATTTTTTAATTTATTTGAAAATAAAATTATTTGATTTGCAAAAAATTGTTAAAACATCATATTTATATATCAATTTTTACAAGATAATAATTATATTTACAAACGAATTAAAAAATATGGAAATGTTTTAAAAAAAAATCTGCACAACACTGTATAATAATGCATTCATTGCAAATGAAAAAGTTTTTAATTGAATTCATGTTATAAAAAATAACTATTTTGCATTTTTATTTTGATAGTTGGCAGTATAACAGTAATCATTTAAGTTTTTTTTAATTATGAATGAGCAGACATATTAAAAGGTGTTATCAATAATGTGTATCGGCGCCGAAGGTGGCGGGTATTTTTTTTGGGTTAGGGCGGGGTAGTCATAGATGAGGGGGGTTTGCACCCAGTGAATATTCTGTCATGTAGACGTTGTATTCGAATATGTGAATAGGATTTTAAAATAATTTTAACTGTTTTGTTATAAATTTCGACACTCATATTTATACTAAAGCCATCTCACAAATATTGATAATACTTTTAAAGAATAATTATTATGTGTAATAATTAGTGCTCTAAAATTACTTTAATAAAACGCGTTACTCGTTACGTTTGAAAAAGGAAATGCGTTATCGTTACTCATTACTCTGTTAAAAAGGAATGCGTTAATGGCTATTCAAAAAAACTCACGGGTTACTCGTTACTTAGAAATAGTATATATCATAAAATAAAAAAAATTTATTTTTATTTTTCCCCCATAAATAATATGATTTTCAAAATTTTGATTAGATAAAAAACGCTTAGGGCTAAATACAGCTTTTGTTGTGCTAAACACACCTTCATCTGGCGTAGAGGATGTGACTGTTGTTTAATAAATAAAAATTTTAATTGAGTGAATTTATTAAGTTAACTCAGAATTAAGAATATCAGTAGTGTTTTTTTATTTAAATTATAAGTAAAACGAGCGAATAATATATAATTATAAAAATATAATTTTATGGTTGCTTATTTAACACGAAAAATAATTATGTGTATCATTATATAGCCGCAGATATATAACATTTTTTTAAATTGGAATATTACCTTTTTTGTTATTAATTAAATAAACATACAATATCAAAATATAGACAACATGCATCGGTTATAAAAAATGACTAGCATCCATTATATACATTACATGTGAAAGGAGTGAGAATATTGTAATAAATTATTACATTATATTGGGTAAGGGGTGCAAAAACAATAATTAGTACAAAAACAAATCATAGAAAAGGTGTGGGGAGAGGTCAATATAGTATTCATAATAGTTTTTCGTAATTATAATTTTAACATAAACTATAAATTACACTATATGGGCTTAAAATTGTAATAAAATAATATTTCTCAATAATGGTTTAACTTTAAATATTATGTTACAAAAGGTCTTAATAAACTAATTTAATGTAATTAATCATATAATTTCCTATTATGGATAAAATTATATCATTTTAACCCTTCAATACTCCGGTGGGGTATATGAGACACCAGGCTTGCTAGAATTGATATTACATAAAAACGGTTTTTTTTATTATGATCTGAAATCTTCAGTAGCTTCATCATATATATCTTAGAATCTATATTCCAAATTTCATATATTTTGGCTGAATAGTTTTTAAGATATAAAGATTTTGTGACTGATTGGGGTTTGTGAGACCCCACTGGAGTAGATACGTAATTTTTTTAAAAAATTTTTCAAATTATTTTTATCATTTATTATGATTTTCACATATTCTAAAAGTAAGTATAATAAAATTTATTTAAAATGTAATATCTTTTTTTATATTTGAGTTGGATATGAAAAAATAACATTATTATCATATCCAAAGAAAGAAAAGGATGTCATAATGCTATCAACTTTCCGCAATAATAAAATTGATGATACAGATGTTACAAGAAATCCTTAAATTATAATATTTTATAACATGACTGGTTAGATATGGTATATTGAATGACAAAAAATGATACAATTTTAAGCAGGTCTTACCCACTTCTAAACATAATATCACTTAATTCACATCATATAGCAAACACAAAAATATCCACTTACAAGAAGTAATTTCATATATAAAATATCAATGGAACTTATTAAGCCGTACAACAAAAATTATCAGATTGTCCTAATTTTTGAAGGAATCCATAGGCGTAGCAGGGAGGGAAGGCAAGGGGAAATCCCCCCCCTTCAGAAATTTATCACTTTTGGGGAATATCATTTTAAGATAATAAAAAATATCCCCCTTAGTCCCCCCCCCCACTCCCTGATCCCTAAAAATGTATGCATATATCCTAAATAAATTTGAAAGAAAGAATGTAAAAGTTGATATTTTTTTATAAAAATATTCATCATATTTATGCATTTGTGGAAAAGCATTTATATGTAAAAAAAGTGAACCAAAAATGTTTTTTAAGAAATGGATTATAAGCCAAAGATAAGTCTTAAGACAAAAGTGAAATGTATTATAATTATTAATAATAGATCCATAAAATTACTAAATAATATAATATATCAAATATAATTTTTTATAAAGTGAGTAATTTTAATTTATTTATCTTAATAAAAGTAAAATATAATTATAAAACTAGTGATAAAATTAAATCATAAATTAAATAAAAAAATTAAAACACAATACAAACAGTGGAATATTATATGTCGTAGATTTACAGTATATCTAATTTTATTACCATATGACAATCAATTAATTTTTGTCCAATATAACGAATTATATATTTTACAGAAAACTATAAAATATTGATAAGTACATCAGAAAATATCTTTTAAAGACATTGTGTGATGAATAATATGATTAATTTTTAATATCATTTTTAATTTAAAATAAATAGATGGCGTTATAATTGAATGCAAATTGTTGCTATATTTATAATCAAAAGCATTGATTAGTGAAATTTGTTAAAATATTAACTGTAATATATTCTCTAACTGTCAAATATGTCTGTAAAAGTGGAATTTTACCTAGTATTTTGTAACCAATTCTGGTAAGCGGAAAAGAATTCCTCAGGAAAAAAATTCCCCGGAAGAAAATTCCCCAGGAAAAAAATCCCCTGGAAAATAATTCCCCAGGAAAAAATATCCCCTGGAAGATAATTCCCCGGAAAAAAATCCTTGGAAAATAATTACCCGGAAAAATATTCCCCTGGAAAAAAATTCCCATAGAAAATAATTCCCTATTTCCTCGGAAATAAATTCCCCTTTTTTAGATTTTAAATTAAATATGGGGGAAAATTAATCCCCGGAAGAAAACAACCGGAAAAAATTCCCCGAATAATTTTTTTTTAATTATCAAAAAATAATCCCGCCGTTAAAAAACGAAAATATTTCTAAAAAATTATATTAGTATTTTCTGAATGTTGAGAGTATTTCTTTTTTAATTCCCAAAAGGGCAATCTTTAAATGGGAATTGATGAATCGGTTGGTAGCTTTTATATTTTATAATTTAGTAGATAGCATAAAAAGCAGGGTTTCGAACCGTTTAGTATAACGGTTCGGTTCGTTCCGGTTTTTAGTTTAAAATTTTATAAAGGTTTTGTTCCATTTCGGTTTTTAAAAAAAAATCATATCGGTTCGGTTTATAATTTATAACAGTTCTTTTCGGTTTGTTCATGTTTTTATAAATTTAATTTTAAAAAAACTTAATCATTAACCATGTATATATTAATTTTAGAGAAAAATCTTTTTAGTTTATAATTTCTTATTTAATTTATCCATGATAATTTAATAGATATTTTTATTAAATTTAGGAAATATAAATTAGACAAATTAGTTTTTTTTTATTTCATAAATAAATAAATAAGATAAAAACAAACATGCGTAAATACAATAATGAATAAAATAATATGTATACTATACTATTTAGGTTTAAAAAGAGAATTCGAACGGATAACTAAAATATTTTCTAATATTTCAGGATTTAATTTAGTTCTCTGCGCAGAGAATATAAACTTAAGGCTTGAAAATGTTCTTTCTACGGAGACCTGCGTAGCTGGAACTGCTAGCACAGTTATAGCTAACTTATAAAGTTCTGGCATACTATTCTTTACATTTTCCCAATAATTCAAAAGATTATTATCTTTTTCCAATCTCTCTATATTATTAAATGACCGAATTATATATTCTATTTCTATACAATTATTATAATTTTCGATGCCCTGAGAATTATTCTTATTAAGACTTTCATGCGACTTTAATAAATCTTCAAAATCATCATCTAAATTATCCTTCGAATACGAACACGTAGGCATAGTATTTACAATTTCAATATTC